TATTAATTATATTAATTAATAATTCCATTTGATCATTAACTGAGTATAATTAAATAGAAAGAATTGATTTATACAAATAATTAGGTGGATTATGCACGTAGCTTGTCAAGTAACTTGTCAAGTATACTTGTTTTCAAGTATACACGTTTGCCGGAATGTACCCTTACTATATTTGCGATAATTGTGCAGTTGTGTTATCTCTCGTTATCTACAGTTCTAATAAACTTGCATAAGTGTGCTTGTACGAATACGTTTGCAGCTCCACATAACCCGATTTAAACTCAGAGGTTTGTTCGCGTTGTTTAAAATCTCCCAAAATTTTTGCATTTGATATGAGATAAATATATGTTCAGGCGTTGAAAAGAAAAAGAAGACGAAGATGCTAAGTGCAAGCAATACGCGAACAAACAATTTGATTAGATTTTAGAAGGTTTTTATGCAGAATTCTGAGCGTGCCACACTGTATATACGGTTTTTACTTCTGCAAGTCAGTTTGGCGCAAGTACTTAAATCGAATGAATTTTCATATTCGCTCCACTTACGTAAGTTACTTTCGCAAGGCAAAATAAATGGAGTTTTGTCATACATACTTGACAAATTTACTTAAGCGTGTGCAGTAGTCGAGCTACTTACAATTAGACGAATTTTATGATTTAAACGATAATACATAAGAATTTATTATTATTATAAAAAAATTAGAGATACATTTTTATTTATTGAAGGATGTCACAAGAAAATATGCGATAAAGAACGTAAAAAAAAAACCAAATAGAGAAAATGTGTTTTATTCGACTCGTAAGTCATACATATTTTGTGCAGTCTTTGATTCTTATTGATTAAATTAGGAATAATTTTTGATTCTCAATTTTTTAAGAAGTTATTTTGTGATCTCTTTGTTTTTATTTATTTAACATAAAATTGTTTACTCGATTTCAATAATTTACTTAATTATTCATCACTATTTGAAGATTCCAATAATATTCATAGCGTTGAGAAATTTTTAGCTTGCTAAAGTGTACATATTGAATGTTGAAATCTTCTTGTTTCGTTTCCCATATCTAAGTAGTTATGTTTATCTACTTACGTTAACGCACATTACGATATCTTATAGCGTGTTACGTACCTTTTATTTACACTTCTTGAGACTTTCGCCAACGAATTCAAAGGAGACCTTGTCTTGTCATAAGTTCTTAAAATCTCAAAAAGAAGAAACCACAGAATATCATTCTTATTCACATTCATAATATAGTTATTTCAAAAATATGTTAATTATAGAATCTTAGATAAACAATGTCTGCTTTTATTTTATTCTTCGGTCTCCTTTTTTTTTTAGAGCAATTGCATTGCATTGCGAGTCCTACTTCACGTACATTGCATCTGGTCACTCTACATTAATAAAACGTTATATTTATAAATAATAAACTGACATGTTTTAATGATGACACATTTTACAAGTTAATAAAAAATCAAAATTTTAATCATTATAAAATATAATTTATATA